CGTCCAGGCGGGCTTTGAATATCTCCAGAGAAGGAGACTCCCCAACCACCTTGGGCATAAAATTAATCTTGCCCTGGGCATAAAATTCAAACTCCGAAGTTTTCCTTGCCCTCTTCTATCTCTGGTTGCTATTTGGGTTTTGTTTTCCGTGTTTAGATCTTTCCAAGTCATGTCTTGCAATTTGATTGCAACATGAACAGAGTAGATTCTTTTTACTAATTCTTTCATTTAAGAAACAAAATTTCACATTGACTGAAGGGCTGATTACAATTAAGTTGTTTTATTAAGAACAAATTCCTAACAGAATTTCTTTTAATCAGTTCAGACCTGTTTTACTGTTTCGTTGGAAGTAAATTCAATCATGAAAACATGAAGTTACTTGCAAATGTTTTATATTGTTTTGACTAAAAGATCTCCTCTTAACCTGGAAGACAACTAGTGCCATGTTGGCATTAATGTTGCTTTGATTTCTTTTACTCCAAACTATTCTTTGTCATAGTTTATGGGCACTTGGAGAAGAAAACAAGTTATTTGCAGAGCTCTAGCCTTTGTAGCATGTGTGTGTGTCTGCATGTCTGTGTGTTAATACACAAATGTTCATCTACTCTGGGAACTTGACCTTGGATCAAATCACAGAAACACACGCTGCTGGGTATGCGGCAACTGAAGTAATTATATTCTTGCTAAGTTTCAAATTCATTTGAATGGAAAAGTCTTTTCTATCATTACATATTATTGCATTACAGGAAAAGAGTTGCCCTGTTCCACCCCAGAGAGGATGGCATTTAGATCTAAATCTCATGAATAACTTTCATCCAGTAGTATAGAATCATAGAATCACAGAATGGTTTAGGTTGGAAAAGACCTTTAAGGTCATCAAGTCTAACCATTAACCTAACACTGCCATCCCACCACTAAACCACGTCCCTGAGCACCTCGTCTACCCGTCTTTTAAATACCTCCGGGGATGGGGACTCGACCACTTCCCTGGGTATGAAAGATATTAAACACTGAATTATCTTTATTTGTTTTACAGACTTCCACCATAGCTTTATTTCATTATGAAGTTAGAAAAAAGGTAAGTAGATCTTACATCTGACACTCCCTAATGAAAAAGGCAGTCCTCCAACAGGGCCAAACCAAACAGGTTACAACACACAAAAAAGCTGTCGAGGCAATGTGCCCTAAGGGACACATGCCAGAAAAATGGTACAGTTTGTGCTTTGTAGGCACTGAAAGCAGCGTTCTTCTCCCCCGGCTGCAGAGGTTTAATATCAACTCTCTTTGCCTGACCTGGTGGATCCTTCAAGGGCAGTGGAGAGAAACAGACACTCACAGAGCAAAATTTGTTTTAGACGTCTACCTTACACATGTCATTGTATTTCAGTAATGCTGCTTTCTTGCTGCTGACTAGATGGGGAATCCCAACCATACATCTAGACTGTAGAAAATTTAGATGGCTAAATGTGGACAGGCAAAGCCCATCCAGATACCTGCAAACAACAACAGAGAGGTTTCAATTCAAACAATCAGACTTAAAAAGGAATCAAGGCTTTAAAATTTACAATTTGCCTTCATATCTCTGAGTATGATAAGCTACAGATTTTATTGTAGAGCGTTCTGGCAGATTTTATTGCAGAGAGTTCTGGCTCCTAGTCAAACTGTACCCCATCAGCCTTATTGTGACCTGTGTTGAGAATTAGTAAGTAACACCAGAAATGAGCAGAAGTGGGACTCGCAGGCTCAGATAAATTAGGCCAAAATTGTCTAAGTGTGATATTCAAACTAAACTTCTTCAGAAGACTTGAAAAATTCCACCCATCTCTGTCTTCCCCTCTCTTGGGTGCAGAATAAGTATTCTAAGCTTCAGCAACTGATATGACAGAGAATCTGTTCAGAGGGTCCTCTAGCGCACACAAAAACATTGAACACAGACCAGTGGAGTCCTATGGAAACAAAAGCATTTCTCTAGCGCTGCGAGGTGGATTGAAAAGGAATTTGGGAAACTGAGCGCTTGGAAGCAGAACAAGGGGACTAGGCAGGCTAAAAGAAATGAAGTTATCAAAACACAACAGTGAAGTAACACGAGGGATATACACTAAGCTGATGAAAAGCAATACAGAAATAGGAACAAAAGCTGCTCGTCAAATTTAACTAATCGGTAGGCAAGCATTTGGGTGGAGGTTCTCTAAACAGCAAGTAGCTGCTGAAAGAGTATTTGAACTTCCTAGCGTCACTGAAATTCCTTTGCATTAGCCGAGATAGTTTGGCTCTCTGAGCCGCACAGGGAGTGCAAGGTTGTCAGCGTTAGCGCTGCATTTTCTGGCTTTTGCGAGTTCCATTATTTTATCACTGTAGGTTTTGCTGTTGTTTTTTTTCCCCCCCATGAGTACATGCAGATTACGATTCTGCTCACAGAGCTGCAACAAGTGAAGGGAAAACTGCCTGCCCTGGCAGTACTCCCTAATACACTTTGTGCAGCTACTGATTGCATCCGTGTTTCTCCCACAGCAGCCCCCTGTGTACAATGAGGAAAAGATACAGGCAGTAGAAAAATCACTGTCAGAGCAACAAGCTTTGACTAGCTTCTACTGCTTGTGAATGTATGTGAATTGGTGAAGAGAGGTTGTGGGGAATCTAACCATGACTACTGTTTGCAAGTGAATACAAATTTCATGTCTGGGTGACCATCTCCTAATTGCTGCTGAATTTTTTATATTTTTTTTTTTCCAGTAGAGCTGACTTTTGAAGCTGGTTCTTCCTGAGCAGCCCATGTGGAGCTGGAGCCTGCTAGGAGGCAATTAGCAAGAATTAGTGCAGGTGCTTCTCTTGGCTCCCATCCATGGGAGTCAGTAGTGCAGCTCAGAGCTCCTTGCCCCGCCACGCCAACCTGGGAAGACTCCTCTGGCAGGGATGCACAAGTGCTGCTCAGCTCCTCCACGCAACACAGCTGAGACTTACTCACAGAAAGTAAGATTTTTGTCTGGGCATTGGTTTATTTAAAGCTGAGTTTTCATTCTAGTTACAGTCTCTGCATAATGGATAAGAGCACTTCAGCTCCTAGCCTTGCCGTTGCTGATCAATATTGATCTGAAATGGAGGTATAGCCATTGTGTATTTAGTGTCTTTGGGAGCCAGAGCTGAAAAAGTAGCAATTTATACATGTTTCAGTTACAGTTATTGCAAGTTAGTCATGGGATAAACAGATTTACCATGCCAGTAATTCTGAGACGAACTGGTAAGGTGAACAAAATGATTTTAGAGTTTAGCAGCATCACTGTTTGTGTTCAGCATTAACAACTCACACTTACACTATCAGTACCTGATTTTGAAGTGGCTTGAGAGATGGGGGGATATAGGTGGAGCTGCTGAGGCAAAGTGAGATGCACTGACTTCCAAAGTTGTTCAACAGATGCATTGACAAAGCTAGGAATGAAAACCAAGTCTCCCAAGCTATAACCCTCCATCCTCCAGTAACAGCCCCTCAGTTTATGGCCCCTTAATTTTCATCTCCTGTTTACTCTTATTTCTCCGGAGTGAATGTGCACTGAAACAGTTCACTCAACCAGAACCTCAACTCGCTTCTAAGTGTAAGAACTGGAGAACCCACAGCCGTTGAAGAGTTGAATTTGTGAGATGGGCAAGGGCTTGAGGAGGACTGAGTTAATACCATGTATTTATGTGGTGCCTCGCACCTATGATTGAGGTCCCTAGGGATAACACTTACAGTGCTAGAGATGCCACAATTAATACGTTGGTTCTAATATCTGATTCTTCAAAATGTTACTGCTTGGAAAGAGGAGATACCATCCACAAACATGATTATTCCTTGAAATACTGACTTCAACTTACACATGTGCCTTCTTTTCCACACTTGGTTCCTAAAGATAGATACCCATTCATATTCTAAGAAAAAGTATGCTTGTGGTAGGGAGAGGGCTGCCCTGGGAATTACATGAAAGATGTTTTTAAATGGCAGGTGGTACAAAGTAATGCAGAGGTTGACCATACAGAGTCCTTGGCTGTTGACAAGTCTGAAAAGATAAACTAGGGTAAACATAGGCAGCTGAGATACTGACATTGTACTGGTGGGCTAGAAGAATGTTAGGTGAAGTGATAGCAAGAGCAGCAGCAAGTTTCAGATGTCCTGGTACACTGGGGGGAAAACAGTGCTGTTGAAGTGTGGGTGCTCTCCATCACTTGTGCATGCACCAGTCCAGATTTGTCCCCAGTCCAGATTCGTCCTCCTCCTACCAAAACTTCCGCCATTCTCTAGCCCAAGACACATGCTGGCTGTGTTAAATCATGGCCATTGATAAAATCTAAGCAGGAATTAGAATTTGTGCAAGAGCTACCTTAACTGTGACCACAAGTTTCCAATATACAGAATTTCATACAGCGCACAGATTTGGATAGCGCAGTAGGCACTTCTCTGTTCTCACCCTTATTCCCTAGCTGTATGTAAGCTACAGAATAGAGTTTCATTAAAGCAATGGATATATCAGAAACCACTGGCACAGTAGAACTATATTCCCACACAGCATAATTGAGGCTGCAAGAAAAACGGCAGGTTGTCCTTCATAAATATTTTAAAATTAAACTGTAGAAAAGTCTGACTTACACTCATTTTGTGAACTTTAAAGATGACTATTTCTATCTCTACACCTACGTATGTTCCCACACAAAATACTGTACTAATTTAGAGTAAAAGAACACAGAGGATTATATCCTGACTGAGACTTATACCTTAAGACACAATAGAAGTAGTAGTATTCAGAGACGCAGAAAGTGCAGAGTAGAAAAATATATTGGGGGAGGGGGGCAGGGAGGGAGAGCGGGATGAATTCACAAAACTCACCAAAAATTGGGGCTGTGAGGAGAGTTTCAGTTCTGTTGTTGCAGTGATATTTCATATATGGACTTCTATCTGATTGTCTAGATTTAAAATATTATGTGAAATGTAGAAAAAGTGGGTCATAAAGATCAAGTAGGATTTTTCCATTCTTTCAGTGTCTTTTGTTTACAATACAGCATCCATTGCTCTAGATTAGTTTATTTTTGGGTTACTGTTTGCATCCTTAACTTTTTGGAGAATAAATTCCAGATTCAACACGATGTTTAGGTACAAATACAGCTTTTAAAAAAAAAAAGCCTTCTCTAGGGTGTCTGCATCCTGAGCTGCACAAGTAAAGCCAGTAAAGAAGTCAGTAGGAGTTTTTCCAATAACATTAGCTACATTACTACATTCCTCCCTCCAGCAAAACCCCCAAACCAAAACCCCCGGGATATTGCAGCTTGGTCTCCCCACTTCCCCATCTCTTTTGGGATTCATGCAATTTTTAACTCTGTTCTTCCCAGGTCTGCCACAGACAGGCTGGAAGGCATTGAGGAAGTCACATCACTGGGGAATGCTTCCATTTCCCAATTTATAAAATGCAAATAATGATACTTCCTTCATGGGCTACAGACCAATAAGGAAAAGCACTCTAAAAAACCCCCAAAGTTGTTACAATAAGGAGAAATTTCCTATGCACAGCTGTTGGCTAACATAAATGACAGAAATCTCACCTGCTGCACCTAACTGGTCCCGATTAAAACCATCTACTACTATTCATGCCCTTAGAGCTAAGCTGGTTCCAGAAAAATCCATTGAGGCGGTAGCTCTAGTCTTCTACCCTAAGATCAAAACCACCACTGCCACCTAATGCAAAACGGTGACCTAATATGAGTGCACCCTCCCAATTTAAATATGTTCAGAAAGTATTGACATGAGAGTGTGGTCCTGGCAGGTTTTTATACTCCAGCAGGTACTCTGTCATCCTACAGCTGGTGGAAAGCTGGCATAAGGTGCTCTGACTAATTTGGGGAAATAAAAGTCCCGTGCCCACACCTGCTCTAGATCACAGTGGTACTGCAGATGATAAAAGTTGGGCACTGTATTAACTGCTGTAGCACTATGGCCAAGTACCCTGTGTAGCATAACCTGTGCAAGGCTACACCTGGTTTTATATATGCCCCATAACAGGGGCCAGTGTTAAGGTTTGCTGCACACAACACTCAGGATATTCCTTCCATCTGCTGGTGGGGACGTACAATTTGAGCGTGGCCTGGGCGTGCAAAGTGGCACTGAATGAAACCAGGACCAAACGGATCATCTTGTTTGATTCGCTGCAGGTTCCTGCAAGGCAGTGATTTCCTCCAGCCCCCACTGAACAGGAGGTTTAGGCCTGGGAAGCTCAGCTGCATCACTCACTCAGAGACTGAATCAGAAAAGAAAAAAAATACCAAATAAGTTTCCCGCAGATGTGAAGGGCTGCCTGCCTCTGCTCCCTGCAAAACTGCTTTCCGTGTAGCCATCTAGTGGAAGGCAACCAAAATGTTCCTAATTAGGAAAAAAATAGAGAGGGTTATTTCAGGCATTCAAAAGACCACAGTACAAACACCCGATAAATCAAAAGGAACAACCATCTCGCTGAAAGTCTTCTGAAAGCATAATTTTCAGTTACACAGGAGAAGTTTTATCAGGCAACCTCCTGTCTTTCAGAAAACATAATAGAGGATCCCCAAATGTAACAGGTTGATTTCTCCTATCAGGTCGGTTCTACTTTGATGTAACTCTATTCTGCATTAGATGAGTTCGTTTCTGATTACATGAAGGTAAATAAGATGGGAATTGGGCCTATTAAGTGTATATTTAGCTGGCTCCCTAAGCAATCTATTTTTTCAAAACCAGGGCTTGCTTATTTGAGATAGGTTTAAACAACTAATAGAAAAACTAACTCGCTGCCTGAAGAAACCCGGTCTTGTGCTTATCATCAGCACAGCCACAGGTGACCCCAAAGGACGGAAGTTTCACCTCAGCTGTGAGCAGGTGTGTACCACTCCGTTCGGTAAAATACCTTTGGGGGAAAATTCCTACTCCTTTATAAGCGTGAAGCAAACGCAAGAAGCACTATACCAACTTAATAAAGAAACCATGAGGGACAAGCAGGACATTTCTTCAGCTACTGTAGCAACTAAATGAGGAGGCAAACAGTCAGGCAGCATTCTATGCCAGACAAATGTCTGGTTTTCCACATATTAATAAAAAGAGAATGCAGAACTGCGTTACCGGTCCTTTCTCCCCTTCCTCACTCCAATATTTTCATTTTAATTGCCAGTGGGGTTCACAAGAAACAAGCTACTCTGAAAGACTGAATGATGCTTTAGTGAAGCACAGCAGTGGTAAACGAATGTTAATTCCTTTCCGGATGAGAGCAATTTATAGCCATATTCTTTCCTCAGCTTCCCCACCTGTAAAACAAGAGAAATGGCAGGGTGAAAAAACACTAGAAGTTGGGATTCTTTTACTGCAAGGTTGGTCTCATCATGTAAGTTTTGATATTAACAGCGGTGTCCAGCTGAAATACTTTCTCTGTAAGATAAATACTAATGAGTAATCATCTCTTCCTTGCTTTACGTAATTTACAAGTGCTGTGAACTCTAATGGTTTCACACCTAGCTCTGCCTTATGCCGATGCATTGATTAAATGACAAGAGAATTTGGCTTAACATTTGCAAAGCGTTTTAAGGATAAAAGACACCAATAAACTGTAAACTGAGTATTATTGGATCTATGCAGAGCTGAACCAGAAAGGTGAAATTACCGGCGTTGCCCATATTTTTAAATCGTAACATTGGATAAAAACGCACGCCTGATTCCTCATGTCGAAAAATATCTTTCTGACTGATGTCAACAGAGGAAGAGGGTAAGAAACGTAGATGACGGTGTCAGCCTGGGAAGCATGAGGATCGTGCTGAGCTAGACCACTTTATTCAGAGTTTCCTGCTACTCCATGAAAAGCTGAGATATCTGGACAGGCTTAGGTTGTCTGAAGGGCAAGTTACTATCTGGGCTAAGTTGGGACTGTAGAATTTGTCCTCACGTGGTTGGCTTTTATTTATAATTTGAGCTCTTTTTCACCTCCAAAGATAGTCCCATAATAGAAACAAACAGTAACAGACTCTTGAGTTATTCTAGGCTGTTGGTCGCATTTTTCCTCAAAACACAAAGGTCTCGGGTTTTATTTTTCTGAGTTCCCTGGGTTTACTTGCACAACTCCCATTAATATTGATGGGAGTTAGATGTCTTAAAAATCCCAATGCACACAGAAAAAGAATAGACTTCTAAGTGAATGTCTATTATAAAATGACAAAGAGCTGTAGTCTTTGCAAAAGCCGGCAAAGAGTATTCTTCTGTTTAATGCTCTAATAAGTGTCCTATTATCCATTTAGTTCAATTACACTGAATGAGTCTGTTTTTTTCCAAAGCCTTTCACTTTGTCACAGTGAGTACAGGGAGGCTGACAAGAAAGATGAGCCACTGCTAGCTCTTGGGTAGCTACACACTATACTCACTATACCTCAGTGAGAACCAGGATCCACTCATTAGCAGAAAGGAAACAGGCACGACAATGGCCCCTAGTAGAGCCCTCGAGGTACAAATCTGACAATGATCCCATTGTAAACCTCTTATCATCAAAATGTTTTTATTCTCATCCATTACCCAATCTTTAGGGGCTCAGACTTAGAAAACAAGGAGGAAATGGCTCCCTTCTGAACTGCTCAGAAGAATATAAGACCGCGCTGAACAATTTAAGCCAAGAGCTACATGGGTTTTGATATGCTGCTTAATTCTCAGAAATTGATTTTGTTGGGTTTCCACAACAGCGACTCCTTCTTTTAAGACACCCATTTTCTTTTTACAAGAAACCCTCCATGGTGCCACAGGATGGGACACAAATACAGTGCTTTCAAGTGGAGAAAGTGTACAGAGCTATCTCAAGTATCAGTGGCACTATCATGAGTTAGTTAATCTTATCCTATCAATCAAAAGGGTCAGTATTTGAACATAATGGATGCAAAATAATGACAGACTTCAAAGAGATCTTACACTATTTCAGTATATACTGTATCTTTAAAGGTGAGTGTATATGTAGACTTCTGTTTTATCACACCTCATCTTTTACATTTCATGTTTTAGCAATTCATCCAACATGCAGAAAGACTAGTAGCAGAAATCTTAAATATATATATTCCATTCAGTAAATAATCCAGTTTCTTAAGTTACTGAAAGACATATGTATGCAATGGAGTGCCATTGCTCCACAGAAGCCCCTATAATATACTGGGTAATAACACATTTTAAAAATTGGCTACAATTTTTTTTTTTATGAGGTACACCATAACAGTAACTTGCAAGGCATTACAGCATGTCTCGTGAACCATAAGCAACTGAAAAATTATATTGGTAAACACACACATACATAGAGATATATGCATACAGATATGTGTGTGTATGTATACATACCCTGATACGGTTATTTGAATCTATTGCAACGATTGGGTTAAAGGGTCAGATTCCTTTTCTTTCTTCCATTCTTGATTGGGGTCCTGTCATATCATTGCTCATTTCCATCTACCAAAACTCTGTAAGAAGAACAGCAGTTGGCATCTTGATCCCTTCTGTCTCTGTCTTAGTTTTGAGCTCTTCTTCCTAGACAGGTGATGCTACTCGGGTGAAGAAATCTTTGTCAGCCCCGTGTGGAAACACTTTTCCCTCTGTCGGGCACACCTGATCCCTAGCATCCCATCCCTCGACTGCTGCCATTGCCTGAGGGCTACGGCTGCTGGCGGCTGTAGCACCCATTGCAGCCTGAGGAGCAGTCGGAGTGAAGCTTTGCCCTTGGCTTTTCTTTATCCAGCTGTTTAAAACAGAACCAACTAAGCTATACCAACACATGCCAATTTTATACCAGTTTGAATATTTCAGTCAGAAGAGTGCTTCCAGCAATGTAATTACTGGGCCACTGTCCCTACTACAGACACAGTTGCACTGACACTGTTGTGTCTTCTGCCAGTTACTAGTGTCACACCCCAAGGCATAACCCTTGTTTGAGGAGTTAAAAACTATTTTAGTATAAGTAAATATTAAATAAGTCAATAAATCAAAACCAAAGCGACTTCTGTGTGGAGATACTCCAAATGTACAGGGTTCTTTTGCCTGTTAGAGGAAGTTCAGGTTGTCTGTGTGCTGTCACGTCTCCTTGCTTGTGGCACACACCCCAGCCCGCAGCATGCACGCATGGTCCTTCTTGATTCCCCCCATGAGAAGTGCTCAGTGCTCTCATCTACCCTATGGCACCAGCATGCGGAGGAGAGAAATAGACTGGCCTTCAGCTTTTTTTCCCAAAGATAAGCAAGGACTTTTCTCATCCTGATTCAATTCAGCATGAACAGGTGGAGCTGTAGGTGCAACGTCTCCCACATGGCTCATTCCTGTCCCTGCCTGGCCTTTGCAGAGAAAGTTGGAGGACCAAAAAATGACAGAATCGTGACGTCCGTTCTCACAAAATTACAAACTGAGTATCTTTGCCCGTAGCCAGCCAGGATATTTGACTACACTAGCAGTAATAGTTAAAACAGAGATACCTCTAAATCCACTTCTCATACTACAGAATGACCGAACTGATGGACATGTGGGTCATTTTTGGTGCACCGAGGGAAAGCACACAAGGGTGTTGGCTGGAGTTGTGGAGGGTCAGGACTGAAGGCTTGCTCCTTTAACTTCTATTAAACAACAACCTAAGATTTCTAACAAGGTGCTCCAAAGATATTATCCCAGTAGTAGAAAATGTCTTGGCTGATTTAAAGAGGTGGCTTTGTCAGATTATAATATGTATTTCAAATGTTTTATAAAGTATGCAATGGCAATTGACATTTGACGCTGCACTTGAGCATCGGAAAGAGCTTTCCAGAAAAATGTTTTTTCTATTGATGTCAATTTTTCATTGCCATTCAATAGAGAACATGTTAACAAAAGAGTGAACGTGAGCAAATCACTTTCTCTATCTGCGATTACACAAAACATATCCCTTTTCAGTAAACTCAAGACGTAATTATTTACGGCCTCACTGATCTCAGCTCTTTATTGTCTTTAAGTCCTTTTTCAGTACATCTTCAGTGATTCAGACCAACTCTTGCTTTTATGCACATGGTAATCTAAAAGCTAAAGTCTTAAAAAAAAAAGTTAAAACTTTTTTTAAGTAAACAAGTTTATTGATGAGGGCTAGAATAACACACAGAAGCATGTCAAGATTGAAACAAAAACAAAAAAGTGAACCCCCCCAAAATGATCAGCAGAATTTCAAATACCATCCCAAGTTCGGATAGCTGTAACACACTTTAAAGACAGAAGGAAATCTTTACAGGAAAGATGTTTCAGGAGGACACTTTCATGAGTTAAAAAAGCATTTCTCAGGAGATTCAACGCACTGAATATTGAAATCAATGCAAAGACTACCACTGTCATCGCTGTCTATTTTATTGATCCGAAAATGAATTGCAGTCTCATTGTTGTGTATTTAAAAGCTCATCCTTCCCAACATGTATTGGCCAGGTCAAAATCTTGATTTTCAGAATCAATGTATTTGTCCCACTCCATATTCCTTTTTTTTTTTCCCCAGTATCTACTACGAGTAGGTAACAATACCTTGTTATAATCTATTCTTCATAATACTTTTAGCTGATTAAAGCAAAGAAATAGGGCTTAAATACAGTAAATCAATAAAATCAAAAGATTGAAGGCCCACTGGTCTTATCAGCCTGGACAAGGATTATCAAGCAATAACTGACATTGGCTAGGATTCAATTTATACTTGCATGTGTTCAGATGAAAACTTTGAATTTCCTTTTCGTTCTTTCATCTTCCAGGAGCAATTGTACTAGTGGTGTTTATCACCAGCAAGCTGTGAAAAATATCAGAAGTATTTCAGGAGCACGTGCTGAAATCAGGATTCATTTTGTTTGCTTGAAATATCTTTTTTTTTTTTTTTTCACTTGCCCATAAAAGTTTCAATAGTCCACTAAGAGAGCAAAAATAATGCAACACTGACCTGGGCTTCTTAATACACATCACAGAAGGCAATCAAGGATGCCACGGAAACAAGCGACTTTGAAGTGACCCTTGATTTGTCATGAATTTGAAAAAAAACAGTCAAACAATTTTGGTTAACAAACAAGCAAAACCACCCCAACATACTTTTGAAGAAAATTCTGACAGACTAAAGGTAAATGACCTGCCAGAAGTGTTTTTCAGAGCTCTAGTTAACATGTGTTTAGATGCAGGCAAAATTGCTTTGATAAAACTGCAACTCGTTTCCCAGCATAACTTCAGTACCATTATTTGCTGAAAGAAACAGAGATCCAGAAATTAAATTCCGGATCTCAATTTGGACTCAAATTAAAAAAAAACAAACAGGAATTGGGGAAAGTTTATAGAAATAGATGTAATGTGTTTAGAAATAGATTTAATGATTTAACACCCCTGATACTCCATGCCAATTTTTCAGGAGGCTTCAGAGGACAGATAGAAATAAAGGCTTACTCATACATAGTCTTTGAACAAATGCAATGCCAGACCCAATTTGCTGTTCCCTAAAAGACATTTTAAATAACTGCAAAAGGCAAATTTAACTACGGTTACACCAGGGATGAACTCAGCTCATTGTTTTCTTTCCTGGAGGCTATGACATTGAGTAATTATCAGAACGTTCCTTATTGTCGGTGTGCGAAGGGAATAAATGATTAGGTACAAGTGTTTACCTGAGCACCATTTACTGATCGGTTGGCTTCCAAATTGTCTTTGGCAGAAGACCACTTCCAGTTTTTCAGTATGCAGCTGAACACTAGTTATTTGGCAAATACCTACATACAAGCCTCTGCTGGCTATGCCTATGGAGCCTGTAGGTCTCAGAGCACTGCAAATATATTTTGAATAGGGTTTGCAAGCTTGTACTTGGTATAGTCAGAATTGTATCTCAGATTTCATAGAATTTAGAGCTTTAACACTGCAACTAACAGTGGCTATTAGCCACGTAATGCCTGCAGTTTTAGTATCATGAAAATGCGATGTGCCCTTAGTGCACAGGTTGAGAGACCATATAAACTTTATGGGCCATATGAGAATTTCTGGCTGAATGAAAGAACTTGGATGGCCTCTGAAAGGCAGCTCGCAGCTGAGGATTCAGGCTGTCTGACAGACTCCAACAAGCAATCGTCTCTTGGTGGTTCCCCTTATTCTAAAACAGTGAATGCTAAAAGAAATGAGGCAATTGAAATGCTTTTTCACCTTTAGGGTATTAATAACATGTCCATCCCCTCTCTCTTCCCCCCTCCAGCGCCCCCACCTTAATTCCATCATTAAAAAAAATTAATTTTTAAATACTGTGGGCAGGGTCTCCCCTCAGTAACACCTGCTGCCATTAGGACACTGAAGCCCACCTGCCTGCACCAGGATCTGGTAAAGTTCTTGCTGCCATTTGCACTTGCTTCCAATTTTCAGTTTGCATGTGGATGGATCCAGAAACACCTAACTGCATGCGTTGTCGCTGTATTCCTGGAAGTTTTACTTCTGTTATGCAATCCCCCTGACATTCCCTTTAAAAATGCAATGCAGCTGTAATATGGGGAAAGACACCACCTCACTCCATGTCCATCTTCCCTGCAGAGAAAAAAAAGAGGGTCACATTCTGCTGCTACTCTTGTAGCACACTCCTGTACCCCTGAAGATTGTCACCTGGCCCTCTGGCAGGGAGAGAAGTAAAAATTATCATACAATTTTTGCCTCCTACAGGGGAAAAGTTTGGAAGAAGTCTTTCCAGTGTGAAAGGTTGATATGCCATAGCCACAGATATGCCACCATACGCAAGCACCTCTGATGATCTGCCCTAAAAAACCCCACGTAAGCACCCACTTTGCTGTGTCACAGGGGCCTTCAGTGAGTAAAGTATCTGCTGGGAGCCAGAAAAACCTGGATGTCTGGGACAGCACATTACAATTATAATTTCATCCTGAGCTTAAAATGTTCCTTTCCACCATCCCACTCCAAGGATGAAAAGGGTCTCCTTCACGCATCGCTGTGTGGTTTCTTGAAGGAAGTGTTTTGTATTTCAGAGATTAGCCCACCTACTTTATGCTATGGTACAGGAGTTGCCATGGGAGGTACTCATTATAGCAAACCCTTCCACCCAAGTGCTAACAGCACAAAATTCATTTTCTCTAAATATCTTGTCAACTCTCCGAAAGAAGTAAGTTAAACCTCTCTTTTATGAAGTAATGTGATTATCAGTACACAGTATTACAGAAAAGTGATAAGTAATAGAAAAAAATGAATTATAGTAATGGGATACTTAAATCATTCTTTACATCTGTTCCCAGAGCAGTTGTGGGGAAAGCAGAAAACGGCTGTTCTTCTTCGATCAGTGGATTTACTTTTGTTTGGTTAATTAATGAAATGAAAAGTTTACTTGGGAAATTCCTGTCGTGTTTGAGGGAAGATCCTGTTTCACAAGGGCAGTTACAGCACAGTTATATTGAGGAGGTAAGTGAGAGACTCTGGGCTTTCTAAAATAAATGTGCTTTTTTTTCAGACAAGGGAAAATAACTTTCTGCTCTTAAGAGACAATATAATGTAAGCCATAAATCTATACACTTTACAGGCAAAGGACTCAGCTGTGAACTAGGCTGCAGATACTTTCTATCAAAGGAGTACCCAGAAAATTGGCAATTGCACAGTGAAAATCTTGTCTCTAAACCTTCCAGGATGGGACAAATAGAAAGAAAGCAGCATTTAATACATTTCATGTCATGACTATATTATCATTTGATCTCTATATAGGTACATAGGTGGCCATCTGATTACATATTTCCAGGTAGAAAAATGTCCACCACAATTTCAGATGATGAAACGGACAGGATCCCATATAATAAACGGAGTGTACCATCAGCAAGTTTGCTGACGACACAAAACTGGGAGGAGTGGCTGATACGCTGGAAGGCTGCGCTGCCATTCAGCGGGACCTGGAGAGCCTGGAGAGCTGGGCGGAGAGGAACCTGATGAAGTTCAACAAGGGCAAGTGTCGAGTGCTGCACCTGGGGAGGTCAAACCCCATGCACCAGTACAGGCTGGGAGCTGACCTGCTGGAAAGCAGCTCTGCTGAGAGGGACCTGGGAGTCCTGGTAGACGACAAGCTGACCATGAGCCAGCAGTGTACCCTTGTTGCCAAGAAGGCCAATGGTATCCTGGGCTGTATTAAGAGGAGTGTGGCCAGCAGGTTGAGGGAGGTTATCCTCCCCCTCTACTCTGCCCTGGTGAGACCCCACCTGGAGTACTGTGTCCAGTTCTGGGCTCCCCAGTTCAAGAAAGATGAGGAACTCCTAGAAAGAGTCCAGAGGAGGGCAACTAGGATGATGAAGGGACTGGAGCATCTCCTCTGTGAGGAAAGGCTGAGAGAGTTGGGCTTGTTCAGCCTGAAGAAGAGAAGACTGAGAGGGGACCTTATCAACACATACAAATATCTTAAGGGCGGAAGTCACGAGGATGGAAGCAGTCTGTTTGCAGTGGTGTCCAGCGACAGGACTAGGGGCAATGGGTGCAAACTGAAACTTAAGAGGTTTCAGTTGTATATGAGGAAAAACTTCTTTACTTTGAGGGTGACAGAGCACTGGAACAGGCTGCCCCAGGGGGGTTGTGGAGTCTCCTTCTCTGGAGATATTCAAAGCCCGCCTGGACTAAGTCCTGTGTAGATTGCTCTAGGAGAGCCTGCTCTAGCAGGGGGGTTGGACTGGATGATCTCCCGAGGTCTCTTCCAACCCTTGCGATTCTGTGATTCTGTGATTCTGTAATACCTTGTATATTGGAAACATGCTCCTTAAGCTAGCCAAAAGCTATCAGGAATAGCCACAACATAGTTAGCAAGTGATGGAGACAGAAGCCCTAGCCTGCCCACTTACAGATTTGGCCTCTAAGAAGACGAGTGAAAAGTTGCGATCATGTTGTTTGTTCTCAACTTCAGATCCAAGTCTTGGGTCCATTTTCCCTAATACACTAGATCTGTTGCTCCACAAGAAAAAGAAAAAACCTGGAACGTTTTTTGTTTTCTTCCAGTCACACAGCTCTGTGGTGATACAATACGACACATAAAAAACTAGGAACTACGGAAATTTTTCTTGCATTTGGACCAGTGAAATTTGCATTGGTAGGAAACATATTCCCTGCACAAAACTCCCTGTGGCTTTCAAACCTGCTTGTGGACTGATGAGGCACACTGCCTATGACTTTGAAAATTTCACATTTACTGCAAAAATATAACATTTTTCAGCAGTTTATTATGGGATATTTCCTTAAGGGAAAAAAATGTCATAAATAGCATTCTGGAAGAAACACCTTGCCTTGAGACAGGGTGTTTATCAAAACATAATGGAACATCTGAGTAGTCCTTCCTCACTGGCACTCAGCTACACGTAACAGAGTAAGAACCAGATTAGTCAATAACCTTGAAGTTTGCATAGGCTGCAAAGGACATAAAGTTAATTTTTAAATATTGGTTATTGTGACACTGTATTATATAAGGTAGTCAGAATGTTTAATGTATTTGGATGTTCATTTAATTAATGACAGACTGGCTAGAAAGCTGACTTAAACTGTTCATGGGCTTCAAATAAGCAGCCTCCTGCTAAACAGAGTGGAGGATCATTGAAAGGTCTCTGTGCTTACCTTTGAAGATGCTGCTTTCAAGACATGACTAAATACATTTCTTTTCTGGAAATGGTAGATCTGATGACTAACAGAGATTAGTATTCACTCCTGTTCTAACTCTTGTTTATTCCTCTCAACATTGCTTCATCAGTTTTAGAGGTTATTGCCCCTTCAGTAGTTTTGAGACTGCACTCTAGGCCAGGTCTGGAGAAAGATCTACCTGAAAATAATTCCTAGGGAGAAAATAGTAACTACTGAAATAAGATAAAGCCCTGACAGTGGAGTAATATACATAATAATTTCCCGCCTGTGATGGATTACGAGCAATATTAACACAGCTGGTTTTGCCAATCTGGGAGCAAAGTGATCCAAAAGACCAGTAACGGTTAAAAAATGAAGATAGACTAAAATGATCTCCCTAAAGATATTCCACAGTGAATAAAGTGCATTGATTCTACTGTAGGATCTGAAGAAGCAAAACTTCTGTGACTCGGTACCACAGAGCAAAGGCCTTAGGGTAAGAAAGACAGGCATGTAGCTCTTTTATTGCGTTAAAATGCCTTTCTCTTGTGTTCTCTTCTTTTCTGGCTCTAAAGATTAAATATGTTGGTTTAAAGAAGCTGTTGGGCACCTGAGCACAAACTCTGGAAGTCTTCTGATCTGCGGGACGCTGAACTCGGAGAGGAAGAGAATCAGTGGGCTCTATGCTTTAACACCCAAAGTCCTGGCCTTCTCATTACAGTGATGTGTGGAGACAGCAACATTAAACAAAATGAAAGGTTTTGCCCTTCAAAATATTCAGTATAAATTTCAGCTATGGTTCAATACAGCCAGCCTCCCCAGCAGTAATGATCACTTTGGTTAGTATTAAAATCTCCATTAATCTTCACAAATACACGGAAAATTCAAAGCATTTGCAATCCCAAGTGCATTGCACACAATATTTTTAGCAAGCTTATTAAAGTTGCCATGCACTTCGCACAGGGATGAGTGACCAAACTCAGGTGACCATAGCTCATCAGCTGTCAGAGGCTTCTTCCTTCTTGTGTCACAAGAAGCAGCTGGCCGTAGAAAATGCAGCTTTCCGCGGACAGGCACAACTGGTGGGTCAGTCAGCCATATGCATCAGCTACTAACGTATAGATTACCACTCTCTCTTGAGGAAAAAGCAGCATCAAGAGTCCTTTAGAAAGAAGAATATTACAGGAACGACGTAGTCATGTTAATAATGGACAATACAGCTAAGAAGAGGCTTTTTATTAAAGCCTATTATTTGGTTTAGTGAAAATAATAGCATAACTGCTGTTCAGTCTGTTTCCCCCCTGAAGAGTGTATTATTTCAAGTATTTCTATAAGTGAAATGAGGGCTTTATTATCTTGGATTTTGAAAAATAAAATAAAAGATAAGAACAAATCATAATGTTTCCTGACATTTTTCCTATACTTGAATCACAAGGACTTAAAAAATATCTTGTACAATAGCTCTGAGTACCATTTTCTTGGAATATTTGCTTCTGACAAAAGCAAATTGCAGTTTCAAGTAATTCAGACATTAAATGTAGCCCCCTTAAGTGCTGATCCTTTTAGAGTCCTCATTTTAACATTTATTTCAAAGTTATTTTCCAAAAACGCTTTCTTTTTTTTCCAAAGAACTCTGAAGTTTATCATTTGTCTCATTGCTGACACTCATTAATTATACAGACTGTAATGAATCTTCAACTAGATCAGCTACCAAAAAATCGTCTCTCCTCTCTTGAGGAGAGGCAATGGAATCACATCGTATCTACTGTGCAGCAAAAATGGTCTCATTGCTATGGATGACGGATGGAGAAAAAGGTGACAGGTTTTGCAACCAGCCTTATCTTAATTATCTTTAATTCAGATGAAGTCTATTCATAGTGTAGCTCACGTTTACTAAGATAAGAACAGAAATGCAATGTCTGTGAAGGAAGCAAAGCAAAAAC